GCAGCAGGAACCCGAACAGGAAGCCGTTATACTGGAAGTGAATATCTGAGGTGGGAGTGAAGGAAAAACCAGCACTCGACCAAAACATTAGGAACACAACATCCACGACACAAGCATAGAGACGATGGAGCTTTTTATCACAGGCTGAAACTGCTCAGGCTGACGGATTGCTCCGTGTAAATGTCGTCACTTTGTCACCTTAAATAGATTTGGTGTAACTAGAAAGCGAACATTTCTGAAGAAATTTTAAGTGTGCCTATGCCGCCGCTAATCAGTATAGTTTGCCATTCAAACGGCTACAGAGAGCAAAACTCACCGGAGCAGCCATTCTCCACCATGAACTATGGAAAAACCAAACACCGCTCGCGCCTCACAGATGACAGCTTACGGTTTTGTGTAAAGATGAGGTGACTTCGTACAGCCCCAATTTGTAGACGCTGTGCGCAGAGGTTCATAAGCAGACCCGACAATGTTTGCATGAACACACTTTGAAGCATTACGTTATGGACCACTTTTCACACATAGTTGCTGTACCCACACAGCCGGCTGTAGCTTTTCATCTCACAGCCCGACACATACACAAAAAAAAACAAAAAAAAACAAAAAAAAAACAAAAGCAGAGAGAGCACAGACTTTACACCTGAGAGGCGTGATTGCAGATGCCGCTGAGGTGGGTCCACCTCCCCTGCAGCGGCACTGCAGACCACGCCCTGCCACACACATCAAACACGTAAAATAAATATTTATGCACTTTTCATTCACTTTTTGTTTTTTGTTATTTTTACACAGTGTTCTGAATGATTAACAATGGTCTACAGCCAATCTTGTGTATTATTATACAAACTTTGGTTGTAAGATTCAGATAACTATTTAATAAAAGCTAAATATTTTATATGAGAGTAAGAAAGAAAAGTATATCTTTGTCTCATACTCTCATCAGACAATACATGAACCTCTCAATAAACAAAATATATGCTCGGCTTAAATGACAAACCGCTATTTTACACAGTGGAACACTTATTTTTAAACAAAACCAATGCAGTTCGCCACTGACAGTGCTTACCTTTGCACATCACAGTAAACACTGAACCAAGATGGCGCCCACGCGAACGAGAAATCTGAACTACGGTGTCCTTGCAGAGGACAAATGGTCAAAATTGCTAAAATTTACAACATATATGCAGCTCAACAGCGACACCTTGTGACTTATTCCAGTCACTACCTTACATATACATAACGTCTTACCTGACATTCAGTTCACCAGACACTCATACTGAATCACCAGCCCATATAAATGAAAAATAAGTCCAGCAGTCAACCAAGAGTCATCACGAAAGACTAGGGGTGACACGACAGCGTGAGCGGGCCTGGGTGTCAGCCAGCCCGACCTGGGTGGCAGCCAAGCCGCGCTAGCCAGCTAGCCGGCTAGCTGCCATGCGGCGGTGAAACGTGAGCGTGAGCCGGCCTGGGTATCAGTCAGCCCGGCCTAGGTGTCAGCCAAGCCGCCCTAGCCAGCTAGCTGCCATGCGGCGCTAGCAGTAACATCGTGAGAGATATGGGACTTCTTGATAAAATATGGGACTTCTTGATAAAACGAGCAGATATTTGAAGTTTACACCCCTACATTCTCGCCTGAAAATAGGGGAGGCTGTCATAAAGTTCAACATCAGTAACTTAGCGCGCACAGCTGTATAGAAACTCCGTCGTGCTAGCTAGCATGCAGTACAGTTATTGTAACTGTCAGCACAACGAAAATAAACTACACCTAAACTCGGTTTATATCTGACCCAAATAGAGTGCAGTTAATAACGTCTTACCTGAAATTCAGTTCGCCTTTTGGCATAGGCACACTTAATTAGTGGGATTACAGCCTTGCTTCACTGTAAAGAGTTCATGACAAACACCTAATTGTTCTTTAAATGTCAGATTAGTGGATGTTGAGCAGGACGCGTTCAGCTCCGTTTCCCTCTGACCGCATTAAAAACTTTTCCAGGGTGGCGTTCACGCCGCCGCTGCGCGGAGGCCGGCAGTTTAATGCACAGGCAGAGCTGCAGGATACGATCGACGAGGAGGAGGCCGAAGTTCCACAGCAGCAGCACGGCCAGGACGAAGGACGGCTGGCTCAAAATGTCCCGAGATCCCTTTGGCTCCCGAACGCACCTGCAGCACCTGGAGGAGGAGGACAGAGCCAATCAGGACCAGAGATGGGCAGTAACGCGTTACTTGTAACGCGTTACTGTAATCTGATTACTTTTTTCAAGTAACGAGTAAAGTAAGGGATTACTATTGCAAAATCGGTAATTAGATTACCGTTACTTTCCCGTAGGAACGCTGCGTTACTGCGTTACTAAAACCGTGATTTTTTTTGCGAGAATGTCTCATGACAGTGACGTAAGCAAGTGCGACGTTGGTGACAGCAGCTGTGTGCAGATCAACAATGGATAATATATCGAGTGCGGGAGAGAGTATGAGCGTGCAGCGTTTAAAGTGTGGAAGTACTGACCTTACTTTGAGTTCGATTCCATAAAAAGTGACAAAAACATTAGCGTCCATCGTGCGTGGGAAGAAAACTTCTTTTTACAGCGAAAAAAACCCCTAAACTTCCGAGCAAGCACCGAGTAGCTACGACGTGATGGGAAATTCACAGAGACACTCGCGCGGATTCTTCAACTGACCGCAGCACACCTGCACCAGGGTAACCCTCCGCCTACCCTGCTCCTGCTTTACAGGTGAAAATAGAGCAAAAGGACCGCTGAGTCTTTGACTTTATTTATTTTCTGCTGTGTTTTACTTGCATCTGTTTGAAAGAGTGAGTGAAAACACAAAAAATATTTTATTTTATGTGCTGGAATGTGTAGAAAATAGGTTTAAATGTTAAACTAATTTATTCAAGTCAGAGAATGTTGCATATAATTAAATGTTTTGCTTGATGCATAAAGTTAAAAGATTAAAACTGATAAAACAAGTTAAAAAAAGAGACTTTTCCATTTGATTACATTTTGTATGATGGATTATGTAGAAAAAGTAGAATTGGGCTGAAAGATCTATCACTTTATCACCTCTTCAGGTTGTAAATCGTGTTTTTAAAAAGTAACTAAGTAACTAAGTAACTAAGTAATTAATTACTTTTGAAAATAAGTAATCAGTAAAGTAACGGGATTACTTTTTTGGGGGAGTAATCAGTAATTAGTTACTGATTACTTTTTTCAAGTAACTTGACCAACACTGATCAGGACGCAGGAAACAGCTGTGTCAGAAGCTCCAGCTGTTTCCCGGGGACACACTCACTCTCTGGCGGCGTAGATGAAAACCACGTCGGTGACGATCACCGACAGCCTCTGGAACAGCACCGTGGCCGGGCTGGCGTAGTTCAGGTTCTCCACCTGCAGCATGTTTGCGTCAAAGCTGCGCGCCACCTGAGACAGCCCGAACTCGAACCAGGCGAACAGCGGCGGGTAGTCCAGGGTCCACTCGGACGTGTTCTGCAGGAGAGAAAGCGCCTCGTGAAACATCAGCGAGCTTTCCCACCGCCTCCCACAGGTGCTTTTATTTTACAGGTGAGTGTGGGCTCCTCCTCCCTCACCTCATAGTACCACCTGGACACGGGCAGGCTGTGCGTGATGGCCAACCAGTTCCTGTGCACCTCAAAGTCCGTCGACCGGCTGAAGACACACACACACACACCAGTTTAACAGACCAAGCTGGACAGATAGAGGCTTCAGCTTTAAACACGTTTGACCTCCACCTGAGGAGCACCACCTGCACCAACAATGACCATACACATGTTCATCTCAAGGACAGCAGGTGTGCGCTCTGTCAGTAACACCTCAACTGTCAGAGGATCAATCTGAGCTAATGTACTCAAACACTCTCATTTCTTAACTTCACATGGACACAAAGGTCACATGTCTCAGGGTTAAAGGTCACCGGCTCACCTCTCAGTACACTGTGGACCCCTTTATTAGGTGTTTTACAGAGCACAGAGGTGTTAGCTGGGCTGGATTCATGCCGAATGTGTCAGTGTTTTAAACTGACTCCGCTTATTTAAAAAGATCCGATTCATCCGCTGTTCTCACAGAAAGACACGCGCGATGGTTTTAATCGGGAGATTTCCCGCAGGGATCCGGTCCTCACAGACGCGGCACTGCGCTTCATGAGACGTTCGCGGGCTCTGAGCCTCCTGACACTCATTAAAGCTCAGTAGACCCGGCAGAGTGACTTATGACGCCCGTTGCATCCCGGGTGTACCTGTACGGTCAATCACCTGTGTGAAACGTCATCAAGCAGCGCCAAAACGAAGCTCTAAAGAAAAACGGCGTATCCCTGAAGCCCAGCCTGCAGCTGATGACGGCTCGGGTTCAAGTTCAAACAAACTCGGATTTCACACGAAGTCACACTAAACGATCTCATCCGCGCACAGCTTCCCGCACGCACCCGCGCAGACCCCTCACTGTTATCGCGTACAGGAAATGACGTTAACGTGGCTAATAACCGCGGTGACACTGAGGAAGACTTGGGACTCACTACGCGCTGATGAAGAAGCACTTCAGCAGAGAAACTCCCACAGCTAACGCCGAGAACCAGCTGCAGCTGTCCGCCGCCATGACAGTCGGCCTGCTGACGTCTGCTTCAAACTTTATTGACAAAGCCGAGGAGGACAGTTCCTCAGTGAACTTTAATTATTTGTTGTTGTTTTTATTTTTTTTAACAGAGTTTGAACAGAGTCCTCAGTCCTGTTTCGGTTTTGTTTAGATATTTATGTAAAAAAAAAAAAGTTCGCTTTTATAATGATGCTTTAAATATCGACAGGTAAAGTCGGAATTCTGAGCTTCGTCTGTGCTAGACTTAAACGTCACACACTGAAGTTTCCTCCCGCGTTTAAAACCTTTCAGTTCATTAAAAGAAAAACTTAAGTTTCAGAGAAGAAAATGAAAACTATTTAAACTTCTCTTTATTTCTGTTTTTAAATAGTTTTGTAATTTCTGATTTTACTTCTCTTTTCTTAAATGTTCTTAGACTTTTTGTCCCTTAGTTCCTCTTTCTGCACCACATCTGATCATCCACCTCCATCTCCTCTATCCCAGCATCCTCCTCTGTCACACCAACCCTCTGCATGTCCTCCTTCACTACATCCATGAACCTCCCCTGAGCTCCTCCTCTCCTCCTCCTGCCTCCACCCTGTCTCCTTTGTAGATGTCCAAACCACGTCAGCCTCTGTCTTTGAGCAGTCCCTCTGATGGACTCGTCCTGCTCATGGCAAATTAATATCTGAACACTTCCAGCAAATACACTGATCTGTCATATTTCATCATCTTTAACTGTTTTTGCATAAAGTTTGTTGCATGTAAACATCTGAGTGCTTCAGTTCAAACTGAAGAAGCACCGACGGCGCTGACACCCTCACCAGTCTGCACCAGCCGGGGGCGCTGTCTCCTCAACTGTCACGGTGTTTTCTGTGACCCACAGTCCCTGAATGCAGCATGGGTAGGGCCTGCTCCTTCCTTGGTGTGACAGTTTCCGGTTTGTGAGCGCTGTGTGTATTTGTGCGTAAACGCTCAAAGTTTGTAAGTAAACGTCACAAAAACTCTGAAATCACAGCAGCTTCCGGGATGAACGTGCTCATGAGGAGGTGTTTCCGGCAGCGGGTGGTCACGTGGAGAGGTGAGGCTGAAGCAGAGGACCCCAAAAATCTGACAGACTCACCAAATCACCGCAGACACGCTGGTTTCCGGTCACTGTGACGTTTCTGTGTTTACTAGTTCATACTTCGGTCATAAATCTGGACCCAGTCAGTAATGAAGGACAGCCAATCAGAGTCCAGCTCCAGAAGCGTTTACACTGTGATCTAGCTCACCTGGTTAAATTGTATCAAAGTTTAATGTCTGCATTGTTAGGGGCGTGGCCTGTGTGTGTGTGTTTTAAAGGTCTCCATGTGGGGGCCCCGCTGACGACCTTCGATGTGAGGAAGGTTGAGCTGACGCCGCTGGAGCAGCGCAAACTGACGTTCGATTCCCACGCCATGGTCACAGAGCTGCAGAGCAGCGGTGAGGTCACTGTCAGGCGTGTCGGCGTGTAGTACCGGCTGTAGCACGGAGTGCTCATCGAATATTTTTGTGCAGGTTTCGAGAAGAACCAGGCGGAGTTGATCGTCTCAGCTCTGGTCACTCTCGCCACGGCCAACATGGATGTCGTTTACAAAGACATGGTGACCAAATCCCATCAGGTGGGAACCAGAGACGAGCTCCACCCTCGAGCTGTTTCCACAGAGTTACAGACTTTTCTTTCTTTAGGAGATCGCCCTGCAGCAGATCATGGCTCACCTGGACTCCGTCAGGAAGGACATGGTGATCCTGGAGAAGAGCGAGTTCGCTAACCTGCGATCGGAGAACACGGTACGTCGGCTTTACTTCTCATTTTCTCCAATCGTCCATTATTCCTGCCTAACATCTGGACACCTCCTCGAGTCTGTCACAGTTAGTGTGTTACTCGGATTTGTTAAATATGTGGAAGTTTTTGTAGGAAGTTCATCAGCTGATGGTGGAGCTCACATTTCGACCTGTCAGTGCACCTTAATGGACGTAATGAAGCTTCTGGTTCCTGGGACCATAACTCCGGGTTAGGACTAAAGAAGAAGAAGAGTTGGTGCAGGCGTCCCACAGGGCTCTGTTCTCGGTCCTCTTCTGCGTCACAATCAGCCACAATGTGTCTGATGATGTTACACGTGCTGGACTCTCGTCCTAGTCTTTAGATTAACAAAGAGACAAAAGCATCTGCAGGTTGTTCTGGATCGTCTCTGCAGCGTCCCGACTTTCTAAAAATCTTTTTGTTCCTGCAGAAAATGAAGCGAGAGCTGGAGCAGCTCCAGAACCGGCTGAAGGTGAGAGTGATGATCCCATGTGGGCTTGACCAGGCTGAAACATCCAGACCCTGGGTGAGGTCCCTGCTGTAACACGACGTGTCTGCTGATGTGTTTTATCTCCAGGAGGAGAGCAAGAAAATGATGGCAGAAACCAAACTGGACATCAACCTGGAGAGGAGCAGGGTCTCCGACATGGTGAGGCTCGCGAGGAATTTACCACAGGAACAGCGGAGCTTTAGCAAAACGCATCGGGCGGTTCGTCCGGCCGCTCGCCACTCGCCTCGGCTGCTTAAAGGTTCCGTTTGGGTAAATTTAAAGGAAGGTGGGCACGTGACGCGTCTCTGAAGCTGCTTTCATGTTTTTGTCTCAGTTCACTGAGCAGGAGAAGAAGCTGATGGAGGCCACGTCAGACTTTCATCACAAGGTGAAAACAACAGCTGCAGTACTGATGCTGTAAAGTACCCGTTGGTTTGTAGCTCTGCAGGGCCATTGGTTGTTTTAACTGATGACATCACATCACGTGTGTCTCGTGCTCAGAGATCCGAGCTGGAAAACGACAACATGGAGATCAACAGGAAGCTGGACCTGCAGGTGGCCTCGCTGAAGACGCTGCTGGAGTCCCTGAAACTGCAGACGATCCGCTACCTGGCAGGTGAGACGGCAGCCGTGCTTCTGTGCGTCTGCGATGGCGTGAAGACGAACACTTTAGTCTGACGCTGCCTGTCAGCACAACATTTTACATCTGTCCTCAGAGAAACACCAGTTTTCTTATCTGTGTGGACAGCAGGGGGCGCTGTAGTACACAGAGTGCAGCTGTATGTACATGTGTAAGTGTGTTGCTACCCTGTGAGCTTTTACACATTGTGTCACTTTACAACCACAAACTTTAATTTCTGTGACAAAGCAGCACATAACTGAAGTGGTGTGAAAACGATGCACGCTTCACGCAGTGTGCGTTTGTATCCAGCCCGTGTCGTACTTTGAGCCACGTTTCCTTTGCGGTTCGTCTCCACCAGCTCTGCGCAGCTGCAGGCTACATTTCTGCCTGTTCTTTGTTTTAAAGCAGCTCGACTTCAGCCAGACCGGACGCAGAGCGTCTGTGAACAGCGGTTTCTAAGTGTCGCCACAGACGCTCGGTCGGCTTCAGGTCTGGACTTTGACCGTCCTAACACGAGTACTCTGATCCAGGTCCCTCTGGAGCTCTTGCTGTATGTTGAGGCTTCCCAGTCTCAAGTCCTCGAGCTTTGGTCTCGTCTGAGCAGAGCACCATCTCCCAAGTTTGCTGTGTCCCTGCACGACTCCTGGCAAACTGCAGACGAGACTTTTTATGTCTTTCTGTCAACAAGGGCTTCTTCTTGCCACTCTTCCATATCTCCACATAGATCTGTGCTGTCCATGACTTCCAGTTGTCCTGTGGACAGACTCTCTCTCTGAGCTGTGGGTTTCTGCAGCTCCTCCAGAGTGACCGTGGGCCTCGTGGAAGCTTCTCTGACCAGTGCTCGCCGTGCTCGCTCTGTGTCTTGGTAGGTTTGCAGTTGTAGGAAACTTTTTCCATTTTTGGATGATGGATTGAACAGAGAGATGTTCAAAGCTCAGGATATTTTATATAAGCTAACTCGTCTTCATCCCTGAGCTGTGTGGTGCCTTCACTGATGCTCTCTAACAAACCTGTGAGGCCTTCACAGAGCAGGTGTGTTTATAATGAGACTAAATCACACACAGGTGGACTCTGTGCTCTAAAGCAGCGGGCCCCAACCCCCGGGCCTCGGACCGGTACCGGTCCGTGAGTCGTTTGGTACCGGGCCGCGAGAGTTGAGGCTCAGGTGTGAAATGTTTGGTTTTCAGCGTTATTTTGTTATCGTTTACTCGGTTTTCCTGTGTTTTACTGGTTTTATTTCGTTGTATTTATCCGCGACACCTTAAAGGCCGGTCCGTGAAAATATTGTCGGGCATAAACCGGCCCGTGGCGCAAAAAAGGTTGGAGACCGCTGCTCTAATAAGCGACTTCTACGGGGGGCTGATTGCACTGAGTACAGGGGCTGGATACAAACACACTTCACATTTTTATTTGGACATCATGTATCGTCTTCGTACCACTTCACAGGTATCTGCTACTTTCTGACTAAATGTGTCAAAGTTCACGGCGTATAAATACTTTCTCAACACGCTGTGTACAGCCTGTGTGATTCAGTGTCTACATATAAAAACGTTACAGTGAAATCAGAGGACGTAGCATCCTGTGTTTAGCCGTATCTGATGATGCAGCGTGAGGTAACGAGTCACAGATCGTACGGTGATGTCAGCAGGCGACGCGTCCTGATGGGACTGAAGGCTGAACACGATCTAAAACCATCACAGTTTGGTCCATGAACGGATCCCTGTGGAGCTCCTGCACTGACGGCTCAGGAACCTGAAACCTGCCGCCTTAAGGTGGAATAAAAATGGTCCTAAAATCGCGCCCTGTGGCACGCCACGTTAGCACGCCACGTTAGCACGCCATGTTAGCATGCCACGTTAGCACGCCATGTTAGCACGTCATGTTAGCACTCATGAAGCTGGACTGTTACCCATCAGCCACCACAGGTGGATGAGCCGCAGCGCTCCGACCACACGTAGAACCTGATTTCTATCGTGCTAAAACCTGATGATGAACTTGCTTCTTTCAAACTTCAGACACCAAACTCATCTTTAGAAACGTCGGCTCTGAATTTATATCAAAGTTCCAGCAACACGAGAATCTAATTTTGCTGTTTTTAATTTGGAGGTTTGAATGAAGACCTGACTTTCACTGTTTCAGTAACGCTGATCGAACGCTCTGCTCCTCCTCAGCCACCCTCTTCTCCTGCCTCGCCATCGCTCTGGGACTCTACCGCCTCTGGAAGTGAACGAGTGACTCGTCTTCATCCACCACACAAAGTAGTTCCAGAAGAAGAAAACTCTGATATTTCATCTGAGCCCAACAGAGTGAAAATACTCAGAATCAGCAACATGTACTCAGAGTATCCAAAGTAGAAGTACTCAGTATATACGGCATACTTTCTTTATATTTCAGAAGGAGCAGCACAGAGTAAAAGTACTTTGAAAGTACCCGAGTTACCAGCTGATTGTACTGTTGCTGAGGTAGAACTTTAAATGAATGGACTCAAACACTAGTTTAAATGTTTTTTATAACCTGTCTTAAACACTTTTGTTAATAAAGTTTACATTTTGAGTTCAGAAACATAAACTCTGACATTTCTGGAGCCGCAGAAACAAAACCGTCAGCGTGAGTTTGTGTTGTCCTGCTCTGAGGTCTGACAGTGAATAAAGCCTGGAAGAAAAATGTCTGTGTTATTAACAGAGATGAAAACACTGTGTGGCTCTGAAACGAGACAGTAAGTCACTACGCAAAGTTTAAACAGGTCAAAATGCTTTTTTTCACTTCATGTGACTTTTCCTCCTTTTAAGAAGCCCTGAACTCAACGCTTCTGTTTTTCTGTGGAAGAGAGACAGAGATTAATAACAGATTAATAACAGATTAATAACAGATTAATAACAGATATGATTCAATGCTGAGAGGTCTGTTAACACAGGCTGTGTCCCAATTCAGAGACTGCATGCTTGAAGTACGCACACTACGCGTACTACGTACGGTTCGTACTATAAGTACGAGAAGTGCGGAAGTGAGAGGCTTGTGAAATGGGACGCTTCGTCGCGCTGTTCAGGTTGCCTAGCAACCATGATACTAACCGCGAGACACCTTTCATACAGCTTTGTGTGACAGAAATGAAGTAGAAAAATGTTTTGTTGGTCATTTTTGTCATGACATCACTGTGATTAGTTGAGTATCTGAGGCTGAGACCACGGGACTGTGAACATGATTGTTGGGCTTCATTTCTGTGCTGAACAGTCATTTCAGATCAGCTAGTAAACAACAATTAGTTAATGTTGTTCATGAGACTAAAGTCATCTCACTGTGGTGATGTAAATATAATATGGCCAATATTATAGTATTGTCAGATTATTATGAGATACATACATATATATATATATATATGTATGTGTATATATATATATATATACACACACACACACACACACACATATATCACTGACTTTCAGCTTGTTGTGTTTGTGGATATATGACTGACTTTAATTATTAAACATTCGCACATAAATAAGTGACGTCATATTCAGTACTTTAGTTCACTCTTCGGCCGCTCCATCTTATTAGGGAAATTCCACACACATAAATGTAAATTTCAAAACTCAACCCCATCATTTAATTTGTTTTTGATTGAAATTGAATATTACTTAAACTCTCTTAAATTAACTTCCAATAAAAAAGGTTTATCATTGATTGAAATTCATTCAGAAATGTTTAACGAATGAGCTGTCACAACTTTCAAATACAAAGTTGTTATGAAGTCTGTCACATTCCCCCTTTTTTTCTTTTCTATCCTTTATTTATTTATCCTTCTTATTTCATTGTGCTGTATATTGTTACTCTTATTTGCCTTGTATGTCTACTGTACAAACTGAACTGGAATGACTGACTGTTCGCTTTATAAGTTCAATAAAGTTTGGAGAAAAAAAAACGGCGCATTTGGAGTACACTTTGAATTGGGACAGCCGTCGTCGCGTTGAAACTGCTAACTTGATTGTGGCTCTTGCAAACTTCTGTTTATTTATGTTCCCCTTAATTTATTTTATTTTTTGTACTCACTTTTGTCTCACTGTCTTTGTCACTCTTTCTGTTCCTCATTGTACTACCACAATGTTATCTTTTATATGATCCCTGTTTTACTTGACTGTATGTCTATAATGTGATAAATAAAGTTTAAAAAAAAAAAACAGCCGTCGTCGCGTGGCGGTGACGTAACCGCACTTAAAATGCGTACTTCAAGCGTGCAGTCTCTTAATTGGGACACAGCCACATAGTGAGTGAGAAAGGAGACTGGAAAGGAAAAACTCAATGCATCATGGGAATCCCCGGCAGCCTACATCTATTGCAGCATAACTAAGGGAGGATTCAGGGTCACCTGGTCCAGCCCTAACTATATGCTTTAGCAAAAAGGAAAGTTTGAAGCCTGATCTTGAAAGTAGAGATAGTGTCTGTCTCCTGAATCCAAACTGGAAGCTGGTTCCACAGAAGAGGGGCCTGAAAACTGAAGGCTCTGCCTCCCATTCTACTTTTAAATACTCTAGGAACAACAAGTAGGCCTGCAGAGCGAGAGCGAAGTGCTCTAATAGGGTGATATGGTACTACAAGGTCATTAAGATAAGATGGGGCCTGATTATTTAAGACCTTGTATGTGAGGAGCAGGATTTTGAATTCTGGATTTAACAGGAAGCCAAAACAGGAGAAATCTGCTCTCTCTTTCTAGTCCCTGTCAGGACTCTTGCTGCAGCATTTTGGATCAGCTGAAGGCTTTTCAGGGAGTTTTTAGGACTTCCTGATAATAATGAATTACAGTCGTCCAGCCTGGAAGTAATAAATGCATGAACTAGTTTTTCAGCATCACTCTGAGACAGGATATTTCTAATTTTAGAGATGTTGCGCAAATGGAAGAAAGCAGTCTTACATATTTGTTTAATATGTGCGTTGAAGGACATGTCCTGGTCAAACATGACTCCAAGGTTCCTCACAGTGTTACTGGAGGCCGAGGTAATGACATCCAGAGTAAGAATCTGCTTAGATACCATATTTCTAAGCTTTTCAGGGCCGAGTACAATAACCTCAGTTTGATCTGAATTAAGAAGCAGAAAGTTAGCGGCCATCCAGGTCTTTATGTCTTTAAGACATTCCTGCAGTTTAACTCATTGGTGTGTGTTATCTGGCTTCATGGACAGATAGAGCTGGGTGTCATCAGCATAGCAGTGTAAATGTATGCTATGTCTTCTAATGATGCTGCCTAAGGGAAGCATGTATAATGTAAACAGAATTGGTCCTAGCACTGAACCCTGTGGAACTCCATAATTAACCTCAGTGTGTGAAGAGGACTCTCCATTTACATGCACAAACTGCCACAGTTCACAAAAACTGTGCCTCAGGAGGTCAGTGTCCCTGCCGGCCGTGTTTCACCTCATTACAGTTTGAGTTCATGTTTGTTGAACAGCTGAGTGTGGACCTGTGTCTTACCTGTGCAGCACACCTGTCTGTCTAACAGGAGGTGGGCAGGGCTGAACCCTCATGCTGTTTCAGAAACTTTTTTTAGAGGATGAAAATATTTCAAATATTTCTCAACTCTGGACTGACCAGAAGTCCGGTGTTGCCTCCACCCAACACACACGCGCGCAACAAATACACACTCAGAGTAAACTTCCTTAAACTTGCTCCACTTCCTCTCGCTCGCCTCTCGGACTTCCTCCTCTACTTAAGCTCCGCCCGCCCGCCTCGCGCTGAGATAGAGATCCGCTGTCCCTCTCGCACGCACACACTCACACACACCGACACAGGGAGCGGGACTGAGCGGAGCTGCGCGCCCGGACAGGAGCACTGATGACCGGTGAGTCCCTGAGCTTTACCCGCTCCGAGCTCCGGATCAGCTGAGAGTGCGTGTGAGTGTGTGTTTGTGTGTGTGCGTGTGTGTGTTTCCTCCTTCTGTCAAAACTTTAGCGGGTTATTGATTCCGGCTTTAATTCCCGTCAGCTGATCGATTTTTCTCCTGCAGCGGATCGATAACCCGTGTGTGTGTGTTTGCGTGTGTGTGTGTGTGTGTGTGTGTGTGTGTGTGTGTGTTTGCGTGTGTGTGTGTGCGCGCGCGCGCTGATGTTTGGAGGAAACTGGAGATGGAGTGCGACCACTCCCTGTGTGTGTGTGCGTGTGCGTGTCACTTCTTGTTTTGAACTTGGTGTAGCGTTAAAGATTCTCAGAAACAATAACGATCAGTGCTGATCGATACCTGAACAGCTGGTTCTGCTAAACTCTTGTTTATGTTGAAATGACTGAACTCAAAGTTTGTCCCTGTGAGAGTGTCACAGCAGTGTACACGCACTATACCTGAGTAACGACTGACTTACTGCAGCACACTCGCAGTGTGCCTGCTGCTGACATGCCCACGATCACAGTGTGAAGCATCATCTTATTCAGATTATTATGGATTATCAGGGGAACAGTACCTGTACTAATGTTACCTGCACAGGCTAGTTTTGTCTGTGAGGAGCAGATCAGAGTTTAGGATGTTTATTGAACTGAACACATCAGTGATCTGCTGACACAACAAGCCAAGAAAACATCTTTACGCACTGAGCCCGGCAACACAGACTGTACACAAAAGATGGACATAGGCCTCTGACGTCATGCATCAGGGTTTTGTTTTTTTTAAATTTCGCATTCTGAGTTTTTAGTTATTTTTGTAGCAGGAAGTGACCATATTTGGACAAAAGGGTAGCATGCTAAGTTATCAGCTAATGCTAGCTCACTTGGTTATCAGACTGCAGAGGAGTGACACACACACACACACACACACACACACACACATCCAAGCCTGGTGGTGAAGGCGAGACTTTCACATGTGAGTCAAACGTCTGTAGTTTGGTCTGAGCTGGCGTGCTGGGCGGCGCTCATCTTGCTTTTTGCGGTTTTAGCTTGAATCTTCTCACAGTCTTGGATGAGTGACGTGTTGTTTGGTGCTCGGTTGTCCCAAACCGGGTCTGCTGCCTCCGGTGCTTTAAGTCTGCTGATATTTTTGGTTGTTTTAGCCCCGATTTGGTTTAATCCCAGTCATCATTAACCTGTAGATGTCTGACCGTCCATCTCAGAGACTAATTTCCACGTCTGAGGTTCATGAGTTATTCCTGGAAGTATCTGCAGAGAAACACTAATGTAACACAGCCCTAATGTAGAGTTCAGGCTATAATTCTTCAGTTTGAATTTTCATGACATCGAAGCTGCAGCAGGAACTCGGGTGTTGTCACCTAAACTACAAAAGTGTGAGACGGTAAAGTCACTGCGAGAAAGTCACAAAAATCTGTGTCAATGCTGGAAAAACACGACTAATCTTGTCCACGACGACGTCACGCAGAGCATCGGCAGCTGCACTCAGATGTGAAACAGAAACATCACAGTCAGCTAGCCGAGGCACCCCGGGACTGAGACAGGAAGTCAGAGGGCGGCGGTGTCAGTGCGGCGAAGCTCGTGACCCGGGCCCACCTCTGACCCACCTCTCTGCTGTTTGGTCATTGATGTGGTTTGATCCTGGGATTGGTGTGATGTTGGTCTGTTTGATGTTCTGGGCTCGTGTGGGTTAATCCCTGTGCTGCTGGTGCGTTCAGGTGTTTCGTGGACACGTGTTTTCACCTGGTCTGGACATGTTACAGCCGCCGTAGTCCCGCTCG